CACACACACACACACACACACACACACACACACACACACACACACACACACATGATGATCACATTCGTCATAGGGAATTTGTACCTGTACATGATATATCTTGATTCTTTTTCCCCCAATCCCTTCCATCCCTCGACCCTTCTTTTAAATTATGTTTTTATTAAGATTATTTTATTACGGAGAAAGGCATTTGGAAAACTGTCGCTTGCATGTCCCATCATGTATACTGGCTCCTTTGACAGGATGCACTGCCTGTTGTGTGTATAGCTTTGTAGTTCATCAGTTTCTGAGATGAGAAGCCGGACATCAGGTCAGAAACTGATGGCCAGGGCTAGTAGAGAGCCTGTCACCCTTGTTTCTCCAACTACCTCGCGTCATCATGGATTCGAGTGTATTGCCTCTTGCTTTCCTGTGGGTGCCTGGGCCATTACAGTGTGCCACGTAGGAATTACAATTACAGTCGCCAAAACCAGGTCCTTGCAGCTCGTACCTCCGACGACGTTTGGTGCTGGTAACCTGTGTGCGCAGCTTGCCTGTAAGAGCCGTGAAACCAGAGCTGAAACCTCAGTGCTGCTCCAAGTTGACGGGGACTCTTAGTGCCAGCTATGGCTGGTCCTCGTCATCCAAAGGACAGCTTGATGGCACATGTAGCCATGAGAAGTCTGTGTCTCTGAAGTGTGGTTTTAAACCCTGTGCTGCTTCTTGTTCCTGGGGCTGGGACACTCCTTGCATCAAGGGGTCACTTAAAAACACCTTTGGGGAAACTGCCCCTCAAACCCTTTCATCTATAGACAGCTTTGACTTGAGGGTACTTTCTTCTTCCAGAATGGTATTACTATAGGTGAGATGCAATATGGAAAGCTATTTTCTTACTGTGATGAAATAAATGTGGCACAGCCATGTGCTCACTTTATTCTGGCTGAACTCGATGTGTACTCTAACTTAAGAAATAAACAATGCAGAATATGAGAACTTTGATTTTTATTCTTTTCCTCACCTGCCAGGTGGGAAGGTTGGAGCACCCTGTGTGGACATCAGGCATCCCATGAGGGGAGCAGTTTCCAGGTAGCCGTCTGGCTGTTCAGAACTAAGAGAGGAGCGTTTCTTGTTGATAGGAACCGGAGTTCTTCAGTGGGGCTTTCCACCTCGGTTCTCACATGTCCAGGAAGATGGAAAGCATCATGGGCACTGAGTGTGCTGCTTGACCGGGAGCAAGGCAAAGGAGGAAGTGCAGATTGCCTTGCGCAAAGGTCCCTCCTCTGCTGCAGCTGGATGTGGGCAACTCACAAACATAACCAAGAGTGGCTGACCGAGGACTTTTTCCCTGCTTAGCCTCCAGAGTACAGGCCCAGCAGCTCAAGGCTACGTGGCACCCAGTCAACCTCTGGAAACATCTGGATTCTGTTGAGTCATGAGTCAGGACTCAGGCCTCAGGCCTCAGGCCAAGCTGCTTAGCAATGGCAAAGCCTTCACCCGCTGAAATTTGATATGGGGTATCTCATATGGGGCCATATATAAAGGGTATCCCACCAGCTAGTGCAGCTTCTGCCTCAGAAGGACCCAGAGAACTAGGTTGCCTTTTGGCCTTCCATTCACTGGTCCAAGGCCACCACTGCCCTTAGAGCCAGGAAACCCATCTTCCGGCATCAGGACCGAGAGCAAGCTGCCTTTGTGCACTTCTCACAGGCTGAGCTGAAACATCCTCACTTCCACACAGCTCTGCAAACTCACCGTGGGGATGTGACACAGCATGACTCTGTCTCCCACCCATAGCCCCAGCGTTTCTCATGCTGAGGGAGAGGTGTGCCCCCGGGTGGTTTAGAAGAGCCTCCTGCAGTCAGGTTCCTATCCCTACGAAGATAACCTCAACTGACCAGTTGCTGAGCACTGGCTACCTTCAAAACCATTCTGAGGAAAGGAACCCATGTGGCTCTCCAGGGCTTCACAGAGTCCAACCAACCCCATAGTGCTGTACACAGGACTATAGCAGGAACAAGGGCCAAAGCCAGGTGACACAGAGTAGTCTTAGGACTTCTCCCTGGTGGGAGTAAACCCAGAGCATCCCTCTTGGCTCCTCCCTTGGATGGAGGCGATCAGACAGCTCATTCTGAGCAGTCCAGAGTAACTTCGCTCACTCTGACTTCACTCTGCTATATCCCAGAAACCATCTAGGTCCCAGGAAGAGGATTTATGAGGATTGTGAGGCCTGGACCAATATCTAGCATAGTTTCTGACATTTGGGAAGTGTCCAGGAACAGTGCCCATCATTCTTAATTTTTTTTTTTTTTTTTTGAAGACAGTCTTGCTATGCAGTTTAGGTTATCTGTGAACTCACTATGTAGCCCAGGCTAACCTTGAACTTGCAGTGATTCTCCTACCTCTTCCTTCCTAGTGCTGGGATTACAGGTGTGTACCACCGTCATGCCTGGCCAGTAATGATTTTTTTCTTTTTTGGGGGGTACCGGGGATCGAACTCAGGTCCTTGCGCTTGTGAGGCAAGCGGCAGAATCACTGAGCTAAATCCCTGGCAAGTAATGATTTTTTTTTTTTTTAATTTTATCATGGTGCCAGGATGAACTTGGCGCTTTATGAATGCTAAGCAAATGCTCTGTCACTGAGCTGTCCCCTCAGCCCAAGCTTTTTGTTTTTTTCTTTTGATACTAGGGATTGAACCCAGGGCCTTTGTACTAACCTATGCGCATAGGGATTGTAGGGACTATAGATACACATCACTGTGCCAAGCCAGAGTAATGCATTCTTTATTCATGTAGCTCTTAAGCAGCTTCAGTGATTCTGCAGCAGGATTTTGGTAACATACATGCATCTGTGATCACATTTGGTCCCTGTAACCAGTCTGAGTAGTGGCCAAGGCTGAGGTTGGGTCCTGTTTGTTTGGTTTTTTTTTTTTTTAATTGTTTGTTTTGTTTTCAGTACCAGGGATTGAACTTGGGACCTTGTGCTTGCAAGGCAGGCATAGCCTGAGCTAAATCCCCGATCCTGCCTCCCGTTTGATACATGGGAAGCGAGGTGTCAGAGCGGTAGTGATTGGTCCAGATGTCCCTGGCCTGATGAACAGGATAAAGGCTGGGTTTCAGAGCTGTTCTCTTCCGTGTCTACCCACTGATGTGCCAAGGGCCTCCAGACCAAGGAAGTGAGGTGATCAGCTAAAGTGGCTCCATGGAGCCCCAATGAGGTGAAATGCCATTTGACATAATTTCCTGGTAGTTGAGACCCCAAATATAGGAGTGTCCTTGATTGTTTCATTAGCAAATATTACGTATCTACTACATACCAACTATGTGTTAGGTTCTGAACATAGGCCAAAATCCCTGTCCCCCGGAATACATACTTTAGTGGAGGAAACACCAGTATGACATACAAAAGATGGAAGCAGAAGAGGGGATAAGAAGCTGGGGATGGATATGATCTGAAAAGGGTGAATGTGAAGGTTGAGCACAGACTTGAAGGTAAAATTGGCTGGGGATTTAGCTCAGTGGTCCCGCCACTGCCTGCCTCACAAGCATGAGGACCCAAGTTCAATCCCAGGTACAAAAAAAAAAAAAAAAAGAAAAAGACTTGAAGGTACAGAGGAAATGGGAGTCATGCAACTATCCTGGGGAACAGGAGTCCAGTCAGGGCAGCAGCCAGTGCAAAGGCCCTGAGTTGGTGTGGCTGTCACAAGAACAATGGCAGGAGCTGAGGTGACAGGGACCTTTGCTCTGGATGAAGAGGGAACATAGACATGGCAGAATGGGACTCTGGTTTTAGTCTGCTCAGCTAGTGGAGTGGAGATGGCAGGGCAATGGCCAGAGCAAGAATCCTTCCTGGAGGCCAGACGGGCTTAGAACTGGAGTCAGACCCTTCCCGGGCGGATGCTGCTCTACCACAGCCCACGTAGATGCGGGTACTGCCTGACAGTGACAAAATGCCCCTGCCCACTGTGTCACTGTCATACAGGCTAACTGAAGTAGAGGCAGGTGACTTATCCCAAGGGACCTGGTCTTTTAAGATGGCTGAACCAGAGACTGACTGCTTTCTGTTCCCCCCAGCTCTGTGTGGCAGGAGCCTATGCTGGGCTCTGCCTCCTGGGTAGAGGTGGCCTGAGCAAGGGACTCATGACCCAGCAGCATCTAGCTGGCTGGCCACGTGTCCTAGAAATAGCCATATGTATTTCAGGAGCATGTACTTTATTAGGATGCTTTGACAATTACAAGTTCTAGCAAGTCAGGGTGGGGCTGCATTGTGTCCTGTTTATCCCATAATCACAACTACCAAATAGGCTTTGCTGGTGGCGAGAGGTCTTCCCAAGGTGACAGATTTCTTTCTGGCCATCTAGTACACTAGTGCTTGGGCAAAAGGAGCATTTTAGGAAGGAGGACAGTCCCTTAGAGCTCAGCTGTAAGGTAACTGGCCAAGTTCATTCTGAAAGCAAGGTGCTTTGGGGATGTGCTGAGAGCAATTCTCAGCTTGCAGACTGGGTCTGCTCAGGGTGAAGCCACACGTATGGCAGCTGTGTGTGGTGGAGAGGACGCTGGAGCTCCTGCCCACCTTTGTGAGGTCCAGGTGTGTTTTATCGCTTAGACTTGGTCCACTGGAACTGCCCACTTTGCCCAGTGGAGCGGCACTGTGCTGCCTGCCACCTGCTGCAGGGCTTCACAGGATGCAGCAGGTACAGGACACAGGCTGGTGCTGCTGTAGCTGCTGCTGAAGCTGCTCCTTTTCCTGTGTCAGCACCTTCACCTTCTCCTCCAGCTTGCCCAGCTCTGCTGTCCACTTCTGAGGGGACAGTGTGGCAGCAGGTGGCCAGGCTGACACTGTCCCAGAATGGTCACCTTCCCCCTAGGGTGAACCAGAGCCCGGGAAGCCTTCTCAGCTAGGTAAGAACCCAGGTCCCTTGGCCACGCTGCCCTGGGGTCTTGACAAGCTACCAGCACGCTGGATGCTAGGGCAGAGCACTGCCTCAGAACTGTGTCCAGCACTCTTGTCCCCTCTTCAGGGCTCTCGCACATGCAGTGCGCAGTCCTTGGAGTTCCCTTGTAATTTAGAACTCCACCCTGTTCCCTGGCCACTCAACAATGGAATTTTTAACTGGCCACTCTGGAGTAGTAGGCAGCATGGAAACTAGGACACAGACTTTTACAAAGAGACTGGTTCCAGCATTCTGGAAAACAGGCTGGAGGACCACATGTTCTAGCCCAGCCTAGGCAACTTAGAGTCTGTCTTAATAATAAAAAATGGCGGGGGATGTTCGTCAGTGCAAAAGTACTGGGTTCAATCCTCAGTACCAGGAGAGAGAAAGAAAGAGGGGAGGACAGATACAGAGACACAGAGAGAAACATGCTTGGTCTTCTCCTCAGCTACGAAACAGTGAAGATGGGCTTTAATCCAAGCCCTTATATTTGCTCAATGGGGTGAAGCAAGATCCAGACTGCTGAGTGTCTGGAGGGGCCTTGTTCGGCTTGGCCCTAGCTGATCCTGGCCAAAGCCCCCTCACCTGTCTGTACCATTCTTGGATCGCACTGACGGACAGCGGGCCCTGGATGCTCCCCTCGCACCGCAGGAACACCTCTCCCTGGTCAGTCTCATACAGCTGTGGCTCGTTCTAGGCCTTGGGGATATGCACGGTCAGGCGAAGGACCTTGGCAGGGCAGTGGCAGCTCTGGCAGGGGCTGCATCTGTCAGTTGCAGCCCTAGTCCACCCTGCTTGCTCCTCACTGTGCCCCGGCTCCTCAAGACAGCCGGGCAGGGCTCCTTTCCCAATCCCCTGCTCCCCTACTGCCCACTGCGGTGAGCACGGGCCGTCATCCTGCTGGTGATGACACATTACAGGCCTGCCTGTCCTGCAGGCTCACCTTGAGGGGGATGCTGGTGGTGGAGGTGCTAATGACAGGGATGAAGGTGAGGGTGTAGGCGTCAGGAAAGACCTGAGGCTTGAAACCCCGCAGGATAGAATCCACCAGTAGTCGTGCACGTTCCTCATCACGGTGGCTACAGCGGATGCCCTGCAACAGGCCACTGTCCTCGATGCCCACAAGCAAGCTGCCACCCTCACTGTTGAGGAAGGTGCACATATAGCGCCGCACGTGGTGTTTGAAGGCCAGGTTCAGGTACTCCCCGCTGCCCCGCTTGAACTCCATGTTCCTTGTCTCACTGCCCAGGAAGGCTCCCTGGAAGAGCTGCTCCTGGCCCAGGATCTCCTGGTGCACGATGGCGCTGTCTGAGCACACGCCCCTGGGCCGGCTTTGGGAAATCTGCTGCTGCCGGGCCCAGGGCCGATTAGGTGAAGAATTTGTAGGCTGAGCTGGCAGTGGGACACTGGAGCCTAGGCTGGGCCTAGGGCTGGGGCCTGAGCTTGGGCCACTGTCATCCTGCTGGGTTGGGAATGAAGAGCAGGGTATATGGGTTGCGGAAGTCAGGAGTCCCTGCCTTGAGAGAGACTGCCACATCCCCAACTGTACCCATCTGAGGTCTAGACCCATGGGCATCTGATCTTTCTCCCAGGCTGAGACCCCCATCTGCCCACCCTTCTGTGGCCAATGTGGGCCAACCTGCTGGACCAAGGGTCTAAACCAGTTTCTGGGTAGGACTCTTCCTGGGTGCCTGGGCCTGGGCTATGAGATGCCTGTGTGGGTAAGAAGAGACAGCTCCTTTACAGTGCTGGGAGCTGGTACACCTATGGGCAAATCTTTTCTCACTTGGACTGCAGATAGGCCTGGGGCCAAGGCCTAGGTAATTCCAGAATATACCTCAGCTCCCTAAGGTTGCCTGTATAAGAGCTTCAGGTCCTTTTCCTGATCTCTCTGGAACCTCTGCCTGCCACTTCCAGGGTCACTGACACATCCTCCTGAATCTCAACTTTTCTCTCCCCTCCCCTGGCTTCTGCTGTGTTGTAGGGCTCTGAGAACTACAAGTTCTCATGACCACTTTGCTAAGTCTGGGCCTCATCAGTCTACCCCTCATCAGGTCCCTCTCTCTATGCATCCTCCTTGCCCACTCTAACCAAAGTGAGATATCCTTCCTCCCTAAAAAAAAAAACAAAACTTTCCCTGGCTCTGGGCTGTGATTCCACCCTGGGGCTGAGAGTTCAGTGGGCTGATGCACAGAGTTGAGGAGCATTGCCCTGCTAGCCCTGCAGCTCCCCAGGGAACACCTCTGAGTCTCAGGAACAGGATCAGTCATGCAAACAGGAAAGCAGACATATGTGTGCTGAAAGGTGTCAGAGCTGTTTAGTTCTGCAATGGTCTGCAGTCCAAGGAGAAAGAAGAATGAGATCATCTGTGGCCTCCAGCCCTGCTTGGCCTTGATCAAAACCATGGGGAGCTGGGCCCTGCAGCCTCCAGCCTGGGCTCTCAGGACAAGAATCAGCCTGTCCTGAAAATATGACATCCTCTTATCCCCATCCCTTTGCATGCACTAGTCTTTCTGCCTAGAACGTCTTTTTTCCCGAGTGCCAGTTCAGCTCCCTAAATCCCAGTCTGGATTTCACATTCCCTGTGAATTTGTCCCCAGTGAGTAGTAAGAACCCACCTGTGTCCTCTGAGTCCCTTGGCTTTGTGACTGGTGGTGTGTGGCTCCGTACATGGGTGGAGGGTAGGGCCCAGGCCTCTAGTTTCTGCCTTACCCTCCCCAGTACAGAGTGGGTGTTGGCATTTGTCCACCAAAAAAAAAAAAAAAAAAAAAA